TCCCCAGTGCTTCTAGGGTGGGGTGTCCAGTTATGGCAAACTTCCTGGGAGAGCTGGCATCTGAGATAAGAACTGAGGTGAGGGCTGGTGTAGACAGATCCTGCCCATCCTCTCACTGACCTGTCTGCAGGGACTGACTCCTGGACATCCAAGTGCCACCATCCCCACTGGGCAGAACTCCAGCCCCTGTCCCCTTGCTCGGACTCCCTGCCTACCTTCTTGTGGGGCTGGGCTCTGGAGGCAAATGTCTCTCTCCAGAGCTGGGCAACTGCTGTCTCTGAACTGCAAGTCCAGGTCTGAGGGGGGGTCACCAGGCCTGACCTGGGTTTTGCTGACCTTTCTCATGCTCCCCCTTGTGCTCTTAGGGTGACTCGGGCGGTCCACTGGTCTGCAATGGCGTGTTGCAGGGTATCCTGTCTTGGGGTGACAACCCATGTGGCCAAGTCGGAAAGCCAGCTGTCTACACCAGAGTGCTTTCATATGTTACCTGGATCCGGGAAACCATGGCGGCCAACCCCTGAGCGCCCTCACCTCGCCTTTACCCACATTAAACTCGAATGCACAGCAATAGCTGGCGTCTTCATCCTTTCTGGACGCTGGGCCCCTGGGAGCTCAGGAGGCACCATGTTGTTGGGAGGCTGCAGTCAGCCGCAAGGAGGGAAAGGAAGGGGCAGTGGCAGGTGCAGCCCAATAGGCCGGCCAAGACCCCAAAGAGATGGACCGACAGAGTGGCTGCAAGAATGGAATCAGACACAACACCAATTATGATGGTGGTTCAGAACCACGCAGACTTCCGTTCCATTGTTCATAGGGTTGTTATGAATCAGAATTAACTTCACTGCACCTGACAACAATATGTCTGCCTCATTAACACAGTGGGGTCAGGATGGAGAGGTTTCGGGGTATGCCCTGCCAGAGGTGGGTTTCCTTGTATAGGGCCTGACTAGACTTTGGGGTGGAACTATGCAAAAAAGACCCCAGGCCTAGCAGTACAGTGGGGGTGGGCTCTGAATAAGGATATGGGGTGGGGCAGGTGAGGATTTAGTAGGTGGGGCCAGAGCCTCACAGATGATTCCAATTTAAGGATCTTGTTTTCAGGAAGTGAGGTGTGCAAGGAGGAGTTGGTAAAATTGAGGGTGAACAAACAGAATTAGATTCCTGAGAGGAGATGGGTTTACACAATGTCTGCAACAGTGGACTCAAATATAACAATGATTTTAGAATAGTGAAGGACCAGACAGTGTTTCATTCTGTCGTATGGGGGTCACTGTGAGTAGGAATTGACTCTTTGGCACTTTAAAATAACATACTAGCATGTGTGGTTTAAAAGGATGTTGTCATTGTTCTTAAGTCCCATGAGGTCAATTTCAACACCTAGTGACATCAACTGAGAGACAAAGGTTTTCTACGCTGGGATCTTTACAGAAGTGATCCCCAGGTCTTTCTCTGGAAGAGGGTGGATTGGAATTGCCAACCTTTCCGCGAACAACAGTTTAACTGTTGAGCCATGAAGGTTTCTTTGTTGTTGTTTTAGGTGCCATCGAGTCGGCACCGACTCCTAGAGAACAAAACACTGCCCGATCCTGGGCCAATCTCACTACTGTTGCCATGCTTGAGCCCATTGATACTGCCACTTGGCCAATCCATCGCTGGGGGTCTTCCTCTTTTTCTCTGACCCTCCACCTTACCAAACATGATATCCTTCTCCAGAGATTGGTCCCCCCTGATAAGATGTCTGAAGTATGAGAGACGAAGTTTGGCCATCCTGGCCTCCAAGGAGCACTCTGGCTGCATTTCGTCCAACACAGATCTGTTGGTTCTTTTGGCAGCCTATGGCACTTTCAATATTCTCCTCCAACACCACAACTCAAAAGCATCAATTCTTCTATGGTATTCCTTATTCACTGTCCAGCTTTCACACACATATGAGGTTATTGAAAATATCATGGCTTGTATCAGGTGCACCTTGGTCCTCGAACTGACATCTTTGCTCTTCAACATTTTAAAAGATTGACATCTTTACACCTCCCAATAAAAACTTCAACAACTGTTTTCCCAGCCTCCTTTGCAGCAGTGACCAGGCTTCATCTATAAGTCACAGCTACATTTATCTCGGGTTGACAGACAGAAGAACTAAGTATAAAATCCATTCTGGTGGGGTTGGCTGTAGCTGCCTTCAAGTTCCACTGTCTAGTCCAGGACCTGGTGACAATTGGGTCCACAGGGCAAACCTGGCCAGCCATTTTTAAGGTGGCCTTTCCTGGTCACTCAGCCATGAGCTGAGTAAAATTCCTTTATAAAGTTATTTTTACATCAACTAGATTTAGTTAGATTCCATTGTTTTTTTAAGGATTCTGACTTTTACAGTGATCCAGTTATTGTAGGATTCCTGGTAGATCTGTGGTTAAGGACTTAGCTGTTAACTTGTTCCATGGGAGATAGATGTGGTACTCTGTTTCCATAGAGGTTTATATCCTTGCAACCTCTATGGGATAAATCTACTCTGTCCTATAGGGTAATAATAAGTCAGCAAGTGTAGTGGTTACAAATCAGGCTGCTAACCTCAGGGTCAGCAGTTTGAAACTACCATATGTTCCGTGGGAGAAAAATGACGCTTTCTGTTCCTATAAAGATTTACAGCCTCGGAAACCCTGTGCAGGGTCACCATGAGTCGGAACCAACTCTACAGCACATAACAACAACAACAACAACAACAACAACAACGTTGTGAAACAAAAACAGATCTAAAAAATAAGCAAGACAATCCTAAAGCTTTATCATTTGCTGACTTGATTTTTCAGAAATTGGACAATCTCCACAGATCAATCTCTCCTAACTTTTTAGGTTTGGCTCCGTCCTCTGAATCCCAGTGACTTTCTTCCACTTCCCAGATGGAGAAACTGGGGCCCAAGGAATGGGAAACTACTTGCTGGGAAGCCTTGAATGTGAGTGAAAGGAGAGAGGACATAGTGCTAGCAAGGTTGCTTCTCTCAGACTGTATTTGTGGGCCTAGGGAAGGAGGCTCTGGTAGCATAGTGGTTACGAATCAGGCTGCGAACCTCAAGGTCAGCAGTTCGAAACTACCTGCTGCTCTGCAGGAGAAAGATGAGGCTGTCTGCTCCTGAAAAGATTTATAGCCTCAGAAACCCTGTTCAGGGTCGCTATGGGTCAGAACTGACTCAACGGCACTTAACAACAACAACAGAGAAGGAGACAAGAAAGGTGAAAAACTGCATTCAGTAGTTAACCACTAGGGGACAGTGTGTAACAAGGAAAATTCTTGGTGGACCGGACTCCTGGGTCTGAGGGAGCAGGAAACGAGCAAAATTGGGCCTGATGGGGTTGGGGATGGGAGATTGAACTCCTGGGTTTCAAGGAAGAGAGGCTGGGGATGGGGACTTCCAGGTCTGAGGGAGAAGGGCTGGGGTTCTGAGGGAGGAGGGCTGGGGGTCAGGACCTCTGGGTCTGAGGGAGGAGGAGGCTGGGGCCCTGGATTCCTGGGTCTGA